CCGTGCATAAACCCTCAGGGTTTAGGGTTTAGGGTTTAGGGTCTGGAGGGCTTGACAGGCGGACGATAGGAGATGTCCCTAAGAAAACACAAAGTTAGGGTTTAGGGTTTAGAGCTAGGGTTTAGGGTTTAGCGCTAGGGTTTAGGTTTTAGAGCTAGGGTTTAGGGTTTAGAGCTAGGGTTGAGGGTTTAGGGTTTAATGCTAGGGCTTAGGGTTTAGTGTTAGGGTTGAGGGTTTAGAGTTTAGTGCTAGGGTTTAGGGTTTAGGGCTAGGGTTTAGGGTTTAGGGCTAGGGTTTAGGGTTTAGGGCTAGGGTTTAGGGTTTAAGGTACCTGGGTAATCCGGCAGCACGAGGCCATACTTTTCCTTCAACCAGCTGCGTACACCCAAAAACAATATCTAGGGTTTAGGGTTTAGGGTTTAGGGTTTAAGCACAGGAGACAAAGACAAACAAAAGCAGAAATGCATTAACACAGAGACAGAGAAAAAACAAATGAATATAAATAAAAAAGAGAGAGACAGATAAACAAACAAATGAAAGGAAATAAAGACAAAGACAAAAGAAAACGACAAAGGAGACAAAAAGGAGACAAAAAGAGACAAAAGAAATACCTATGTATGAATCTCCTCCTTAAAAAAAACAAACAGAGACAGAAAAAGAGACAAAAAAAGAGAAAAAAACACAGAAACAAAGACAGACACAACACAAGACAAAGAAGGAGACAAAAGGAGACAAAAAGGAGACAAAAAGGAAACAAAAAGGAGACAAAAAAAAACAAAATAAATACCTAGGTATGAATCTCCTTAGACAGAAAAACAGAGACAGAAAAAGAGACAAAGAAAGAGAAAAAAAGAAAGAAACAAAAGAAGACAAAAGGAGACAAAAAAGAGACAAAAGGAGACAAAAAGGAGACAAAAAGGAGAGAAAAAAAACAAAAAAAAACAAAAAAAATAAAAAAATAAAAAAAAAATAAAAAAAATAAATACCTAGGTATGAATCTCCCCCCTAAGAAATGAATTCCTTTAAACGTCGATGTGCATTTCTTTGGGGCCGATAAAG